AATCTTTATCCTAACTGCAATTAAATATTGAACGTTCTAGTTTAACTCACATTTGAGAGATATTAAACGTATTTGAATATTGAAAATAAGATGTAAACGTAAATTTTAACAAAGTATTAATAATTACTATTTATAACAAAACAAACTGCAAAATTAACACAAATAGAAATAATATGAAATAGATTACAATAAGATATTCATCTTTAATAGTTTCTCTTGTATACAAATAAATTAATAACTTAAAGTTGTTATATGTTAGTAATTTACTATAATTATATTTGTAAGAATAAAATAAATTATAGTAAATATTATACTAAAGTATTCGATAATATGATTCCAGTAAATATATGTACATTTCCAACAATTGAAGAAGAAAAAACACGTTAAATTTATAATATTGTCTGCAAATTTTAGAGTTTTGTCGCAATCATAAATGAGAAATAAATTGCACGGTAACCTTGACTAAAGGACAAGAAATTTATCTTTGAAATCTCATAAAACTGCAAATTTCGTTAAAGCATACGGTTTCGTGAGAATTTACATTCAGCTGAGCGTGAGATGTTTCCTTCTTTCTTTCGTTTTTTTTTCAATCCTCCTCTTCTCTTACTCGTACACCACTATTTTCTCGTTCTCTCTCCGACACGTCCACGTTTTCCCCTTCCGGCTCTCCGGGAGTTTTGCTCTAGTAATTTGAATCTTTCGTTGGAAGATAATAAAATCCCGATGTTGCGCTCTTCTTGGTTTACTGCGCGACTTTCTCACAAGCGTATCCGTGAATTTAGATCTTGCTTCTTGTTTTTTTTTTGTTTGTTTGTCCCGTGTTGCTGTATTTTATTTTCTGGAATTTTAATTAATCCGATCCAAATATACATAGTTTGTTTATTAATCCATTTCGGTTTTTATGCAGTCTTCGTGGTTGTATAAAAAGTCGAGTGTGTAAAATCCAGTTGAGCATCATTAATATACCAGTCGTCCGATTCGATTTAAATACAATAATTAGACAGAGACATAAATTATCGTGTGCTTGTTTCGCGAAAGCGACGACATTTTCTTGCAATTTATTAGTAGTGGATCGCATGTGGTGACATGCTTCTGTTACTATAAAACGGTGGTCTTCAAACTTTTTCAAATCACCAGAAAAAAAAAAGAGTTAAACAACATTAAACTGTAATTTACGTGAAAAATGAGAGGAAATCGTGTAAAATTAAATTGAATTATTTAAAAAATATATATTTAAGAACAATTCGAGCTGCAATAACGAACAACTTATACAGTAAGAGCGCTGAAGGAAGCAGCGTTAAGGAGTCATTTTAACACATTGAAAATAGGGAAATAAATGTATTTAATTAATTTGCATTATATACAAATCAATGAAATGCCGCGATAATTTTAAACCGGATAATTTTTTGAGTTTTTTTAAGATTTTCAGCAAACCGCGTTATAGCAAATTAGCTAAACAAGATCTTATTGTATATGTAGAATTGTATTTTATTGCCATCTTTGAACAGTAAATATATGATAAAATGATGATCAGTTGACGAACAATTCGAATAACGAACATTTACTTTCATTTAAAAAATATAATAAAATGTAATGTATTAAATAGAGAAATGAGTAATAATAGTTGTAATTATATAGAACTAATTATATATTTTTGTTCTTAAAAAGTAAATTCTATCAAAATATTGGGTTTGATCGACATGTATAACTATTCCTACCGGTCGTGGTCAAATGATCAAAAATACATCTTAATATAGAATGAGATTTTAGCTTGAATATTAAACAAAATATTTTCTTTTATTTAGAAACGTTTTATTTAAATTTTATGAGTTTTCAGTGCATTTTTTTAGAAATTTAATTTGACGTGGTAAGTTTAGCGTTAAAAGAGTGTTTTGCGAAACGTCGGTGTTCTGCGTAACACAGTTTGAAGACCGCTGATATATGAAACAGTTTCCTTTATCAAACCAGTTTCCTGTGCAGTTTTACGGTAGTTAAAGATCGCATCGCGCGCTACGTTCAACATGCATAATTCTATGATATAAGCTAATAGGAGCATGCTTGTAGCCTGCATATGTTGCAAGTGCATTAATTTTATATATAATCTGCCGGAGTGTAAAGTTAGCTGCCATAATCAAATATTACACACATTGTACCGAGCTCGAGCTCTCAGGCGATTACTCTCCAATTACGGAATATATTTATTCGCAATTAAAGTCTCCGTCAGCGCAGAAGACAAATCTCCGCTTTTCTATATAATGCTATAAGCAAGAACGAGATTCTGCTGATCTCCTCGCGGGTATCTTAATAAGGAAAATCCAAGTCAAGTGACCGGAAATACTTGGAAAGAATAAAATAAAGAAAAAACAACAACAACGCTCTTCTCTTCTATCGGGATGGAGTACCAATTTATTTTATATGAATTACCTTACCGTGAAATATTTTAACATTCAGTAAATAATGGTAATTTTCTTTTAACTTGATTATTTTTAACATATTGCAAGGAATATAATTAATTTATGACTTATGTTTAAAAACTTAACATTTAATGAAGCAACATTAATAAATAAATTGAAAACTTATTAAAATTTAATTATTAAATTTTAGTCAATGCAGATTATTGCAATGGTACATTCAAATAATTCAAGATTTAATTAGATATTAAAGGAATATAAATTATACAATAATATAAAAAAAAATGTTATTTTTTTTTTCTCAAATCAAACTACTTGCAATGTAAACATTAAATTAATGTGAATCAATTATCCTTTATTTTTATTCACAATCTGCCATAATTATGACAATGAGTTGAACAGTTTTTTGACATAGACAAAAAAAATTAAATATAATAATTGAAACCATCATACAAATTATGTTTTTTTTTTTAATTTTTCATATATCTTATTTTACTATAATGTTATATTTAAATAATAATAAACAATTTCATAAATATAATTTTACAATGCTGTCCCGGGATTAAGAAATCCTTGGACTCCGTGGATTATTTCGTAGTTAAGTTTTATTGAGAAGTCAACTATACAATAGTTCTTCTTTTTTATTTCTTTCTTCCTTCACACTTCTTCATTTGGCTTCAGAATTACGCGCCAACAAGCCAACCAATGTCTGTTCAGTCAAAGCACAAAAAAACAAAAATAACACTTATTCTTCGGATTTCTTTTTTCGCCCAAATAATTAAAGTTCCAATAAAACCATAACCCAAATAATCAAAATAAAAAACTTCTTCTAACAAAACTAAAAAATATAACTATTAAACCAAACTTAAATTCACTTCAATAAAATATATTCGGTCCTCTGACTAAGACAAAATTATATAATACAAAAATGTGTTCATTTCAAAAAGGGCTGTGTGGGAGGTAAGGAAATCAGTTTTGAGCTTGTGGAAAATGCAACCGTTTCTTTATCTAAGTTTTATGACCCAACGCAAATATTTAGGGGCTGCAGATGGCTGTTAAATGTAACCGTCGTTCGGAATATTTCACAAGATATTCCAAATAATCACGTACAAGTATCCGTTTGTATATTTGGTGGATACGTTAAATTTGATTTGTAATAATTAAGAGAAAAGTGGCAGACCTAACAACTATACATATTAGTTATACAATAGATGATAATAAATTGGTCAGCCACGACAATACAACAGCAAAATTAAAGTTGAGATAAATACTCGATAATAGCTTTAAAACAAGGCCAATAAAAGGTCGTAGAGCTATTAATTTCATTGTAAGAAAAGTAGATTTCTTACAAATATTAATAAGTAGAATTTTAAATTTTAGTATTTGTTTACAATTCAATTCTCAAGTTAATTGTTTTATTTTGTATTTAAATATTTTAGTTAAAGATATTTTTTGTCAATAATTTTCAGTATTCTACTATTTAGACTAAATACATATGATAAAAGCATATTTAAGTTATCAAATACATATGTTATTTATACCTCCAATAATGCGGCTTCGATCTGCGTGGATTTACTATAGTCCGGTTTGAAAACTTCAAAACAAACAATATTTTAATTGAACAAAATATTTTCTTAAACATACATTATTTTTCCCCTTATACAGACAGTCAAGTATTTTTTGATTTTGTTGTATTAATTACCAATATCTAAAGTTTTAATTTATAGTTAATTTAAGTTCTTGGTTTTATTTTCGAGATATTCAGAAATATTCACATATTTGTTGTTACTTGTTCCAGAAAAGTATAATTTAATATAATTATAGTGCAGAAAGAGCTATGGTCAATAGACTTTTGCATCAGTAAAATTTAATTCATTTTTTTCTTATTGCATTAAGTTTTCTTTATTTTTGTAATTTATTGTTGACAGCCTTTAAAGTATGTTGTTCGCACCTTTACCTAATGATAGCTCTAATTCTATTATATTAATATAAATAATACACAGATTTTGTATGCATATTTTACTTAATTAAACATTTAGCAATACTGTTGTTGAGTAATGAACCAAAATTATGTTCTAATTGATGATGTTTATCATCATATTCATATATGTATATTATTGTTCTTAATTTTTGTGGAAATTTTTGGTGATTATTCCAGCCCGGATATGACGTTCCCAACGCGGTAGGGTGCGTCCCACCCCAGCCCGTAGCTGGTATTCCGGGATAAGGGGACTACCTGCTTTGGGTATATAAACTGCAAAATATCCAAAATCTGTCTCATTTGTCGCATCTCGGTAGCCAGTAAGGTTCTCTGTATTATATCCTGTAAGTAATTTTTGTATCCTGTGTATCTCTCTGTATTGTGAACTATCCGCGATTTATCCAAATAAACATATGTGTCAATACTGCCAATGTAAGTAAGTGTTTCTACTCTACGAACATTCCTCTCCGATCCATATAATCGAGCATCTCTGAATTCGTGACCCCGACGTGATATTAGTAAACAAGATGGAGAACAAACTAGAAAATGGACCTGCCTTTCGTCGCCCGATTTTTTTGCCTTGGAATTTGAAATTATGGTTTGTTATGATGGATACCAGTTTTGAAAGTGCCGGAATCACCTCGGATTTAAGCAAATACTTGTGCGTTATAAGCTGCTTGGATGAGAAATATATAAGAGAAGTGCAAAACGTGTTAAGTAACCCACCAGCATTTTGTAAATACGAAAATTTGAAAAATGTTTTAATTGAATTATCATGTAAGAAGACACGGGAGTTGCTCAGTCGTGAAGAGATGGGTGACCGCGCGCCATCGAAATTTTTATGTCATCTGAGAGAGTTGGCCGGAACTCAGCTGCCGGAAGATTTCATCAAGAGGGTCTGGATGGAACGGTTACCTTCTAATGTACGTGCCATTATAGCTGAACTAGAGAACGTCGAATTGGACCAGCTGGCAAAAACAGCAGATGCGATTGTTGCACAAGGGACGCAACATCAGAAAGCAATGGAAGAAACGTTGCCCACAGCACAAATGATGTTAGAGATATCGAGAGTATTGGATAACCTTACAACGAGAATTGAGGCGGTTGAAATTTCGAGTAGATCAGCTGTAATTAGAGGACGACCTGTCGATCATAGCTTTAGTCCGAGATCACGACCACGTTCACGTCCACGACATGATTTATGCTGGTATCACTATAACTTCGGTCCAAACGCGCATGATTGTAGATATCCGTGCAACTACCTGAAGGGAAAGGACGACGGTAGTCTGTAGTGGCTAACGACGACCAGATTCACAACTTGGTCCTTCGTCCAAAACAGTATATATTTATTAATTTATTTCAAAAAGTCATATTAATAAAACTTGTATAATATAATCGGAAATAGTTTAAAATATATTAAAGATATATTAAAAAAAAAGAGAAAAATAAACAAAAATATATAAAGGAAATTAATGTAAAGATTAAAATAATTTGTACTGTAGTAATTTAGTAGATAATGGAATTAAGAAAAAAAAAGAATAAATCTAAAATAGTTGGAAAGTTTATAATAAATAAATAATATTTATCTTATCAGAGTGAATATTTTGTTTCATATTTTTTTTTATTATTTCAGTAAAGTTTTCTTGTATGAAATGATTGGATTATAAAGGAAATAAATTTGTTTATTCATAAATGCGTTTTTCAAATGTAGCAAGATAGTAAATGTCATATTGGAGAATTGTTATTTAACATGCATGAAGACAGAGAAGATGGGATAAATCTTCTACGCGGAAGTGAAGTCACATAATAATGAATAACTAATATCTAATGGAAGAAATGAGGAAATGCTAATAATGACCCATTCTGATGTGTTTGAATCAATATTTACATGGAAATAGTTATTTATTTATTTATTGAATAATACAAGGTAGAATTGAAAATTATATATATAATATTATGAAAATGTGCACATAAATCAAGTTTCATAAAAAGCACAGATACAATATCTTAACACCAATTACATTAATAATAAAATTAATAAATTATATGTACATCAATAGTTTTTGATTAATAACCAATACACTTTAGTTATTTCATAAAATGCAGTAAAATTTATTTGCATTTTATTTTGTTAAAATATCAAAATTACGTAAATAATGTATAAATGATTTAACTTAGTTGCGATGTTATATGGTTATAACGATATACAATCGTAGTACTTTAAATAACGTTATAACCGACTTGAAATGTATTAGAAATAGAAAGGAATACGTTTAAAAAATGTATTCTAAAATTACTATTTAATAGAAAGCTAACATATTTTGGCACAATAACTGAACAAATGATCTGCGTAGTGTCCAATTGGCGACATATGAAAGATTTCTGTCGACCATAAATGAAATGCAAATTTATTATTTTTTTTGTTTAGACTTTTCTTTAATTAGTCAACATAATAATAAACATAAATTATTGCATATACACTAATTGCTATTAGCAAAACTCTTTCAGTATTAATTAATCTTTTTTTATACTTGCTTGAACAAAAGATTAATAAATATAACAATAGCTCGGACTATACGAGGTAATTGGTTCTGCTAATATACCGAACAGTTTGAAACCGGAGTAATCGAGGACTTTAAAATCGTATAAAAATAATCTGTACAAAAAGAGGAAATGGAATCTAGGAAAGAAAACGACCAATTTTTTATATAAAAAAAATAATTTAGTGTATTACTTTTTTTAGAATTTATTTCCGGACTGATCGAAGCCGCACTTTGCGAGGTTTTACTAGGACTATTTTATTATATGATTTCTTTCATAGGTAAAACATGTTACAAAAATTACAGTTTTTTGTAGCTTTTGCAGTCATAGATCTTTTTTTCAATAACTACCAAAGTTTTTATTTGCTTAACCTCGAGCATTTCGCTTAACGAGCAAAATGAATTGTAAGAAAAATGACTCGCATAACGAGTGACAATGAGAAGAGAAGTCCCGGATTACGTTAGTTTTAAAAATGATGTAGCACGCCATCATTTTTAAAACTTTATGTGTATTTTTGAATAAGTTTCACTATACGAGTATTTCATTATAGGAGTAAAAATCCGGTAATTTTGGAACGGATTAAGCTAGATTCCATTTGTATTTTTTATATTTGTTGTACTCCTCTATGTACATATTTATTTTTTAATTCGTTTTATGTTTATTTTGAACTTTTGGTAGATTCACAATTCTACATTTATTTTGTCAAAGGATATATTTGTGTAAAATCAAGCTGCTTGAAGTTTTCGTATTTGGCATATTACAGCCTCGCGTTTTATTTCAAAATTATGTACGGAAATAAAACAGTTTAGTCTAGGAAATTAGGAAATATTTACAAACTTAAGATTATTTTACCTAGCGCCTTCTCTTCTATTTTTAATTTGTTTTACAGGAAACCTTTCGTGTCTATGCCTTCCTTTTAATATCCGATATGGAAAGAGGATACTCCGTCCGTAAAGTAAATAAATAAATCAATTCGCGTTTCGAAATATTCCCTACAAACTTTATTTAATTGCATAGTCATTATAATGTAAAGGAGAACTTCGATTTATATATTTTTTATTTACAAAGCGTAAATCCAGAGCTTTCATGTGCGTTAATTCATCGATGCAGACTTCTTTGATCGCTATTCTCGCCTTTATTATATCCTCACATAACTATTCCTAGACTTCTGGGACATCGTTTCCGGCGCAAATCCCCCTTTGAAAGCATCAGCCTCCTGAAATATCACTCGTTAATTCATTGATCTGCCACAGTCTCGTTATACGTCTTGTATTACAAAGTTGCAAAGAACATTCATCTTTTATTATATTTCCTTATGCAACATTTTCTCTATATAATGTAAATGTCAGATATCCTTTTAAATATTTCTGTTTCATTTAATTATTTTTGTTTCAAAATTTCAGTTTTTAGGAACAATTAGAATATGATTTTGATTTTACAATCAATATTTCTGAGATTTAAGTATTACTAAGTAAATAATTAATATATTTATAATAGTAAATACAGTGAACCCTCGTTTTTCTCATATAAATTAATACATCCATGCCGAAAACAACTCTTAAGAAAAAATATTTATAACGTTTACTCAAAAAAAAACGAAATAATTAGTTTATTTTATATAATACATAGCTAAATTCTCTTTTTTTATTCTCTTATGACTGTCTTCTTGCGGCTTTTTCTTCAAGGACATTTTTGTAAGGCTAATCTAACCGTCAATCTAACCCATTGATTGAAGCGAATCTTCGCTTGTCTTCCGGTTTTAATCTGACAGACAAAAAAAGGTTTATAAGTATTTTCATGTATAGAGGAAGAAAAACCGATCATTCTTGTATAAAAAAAATAATGTTTTGTACTAATTTTTTAGAATTTATTTTAATTTAACTCGATTAAAATTTAGTTAGTTTTGAAATTTTCAAACTGTACTATCATCAGCACTGATCGAAGACGCAATATAGGAGGTATTGATATATACAATTCTTCTTCTTCTATTATTACCAGCGCCAACCATTATCAGAGGCGGCGCATGCTCCACTTGGCGATCCACTGGACACATTTGCCAATCACTTACTGGGGGTGTTTGTTTTTGTTTTGTTCCATTTTTAGGTTATCCCAGCATTCCTGCCCTTTCGGAGCGCCAGGACGAGAGCCAGTCTGGAAAGGATTTACAAGTATAACAATATAGAAGCTGTTGTGTGTGTTCTATAGCAATTGGTTAGTCCTTCGGAGGAATTCCAAAATAGCCGAGTACGTTCAGCCGTTGTCATGAGAGTGTTGATAGATGTTGGAAGTGGGCATTTTAGTTTTGTGAGATCTGCTCTTAGATTGGCTGAATCTTGAATGAATTGCTATATACAATTAAAAAATAATATTTCTACTCCTTTCGGGTTTAACAGCCACCTATATACAATTAATAAGCTTTTATCTACTAACTATCGAAATTAGATAGTGGAGCCATCTTGTGGACAAAGTTCAAAATAGAGGCGTATGATAAATTAAAAAAAAACAGTTACCAACAAGAAAGCTCTTCTAACTAATCTTCTAAAAACAATCGTGTTTTCTTTAAAACTTCGATCAAAAATATTGAATTGAAAATATTTATTAATAGAATTATAAGTTTTGAACATAATTTTTTTTATTGTTCAAATATATTAATTTATTGACGCAAACTGATTTAATCCAACTTTTTAAATTACCTTGATTAAGTACAATTTTAATGATCTTCTCGATATTCATTAGAAGAGAAAAAAAATAGTTATTAAATGTACATTCTCTAAGATATTCTAATCGTAAAAAGCGCAATCAAAATAAACAGGAAAAAAATATGTAATAGCTGCAACAAAAATAAAGTCGAGCAAAACTCTTCACTTTCTAACTGAACTTAATTACGTGAATTAAGTACACGTTCGCATAAATATCATCAAGTCGCTATGAAGGATAAGGTGCTTGCTTTCATTTCGGCCGAGTACGTTAAGAATAATTTGCTTTAATGTCCATGAGCGAGTAGAAGAAAAATCTGAGAAGAGCGAAGAAGTACATACATGTATGTATATATAAACAACAAAAATAAACTAATTGTACAAAAAGAACGTACGTTTCGTGCAGAGGTAACAAAACTTTCATAAATCCTGCACACAAATATTAATATTGCGCATATTCATTAAATTCGTAATTAAAAATAATGAATGCCGACAAGGGAATTCAGGTTAAATTGAACATTTTATTTGTAAATTAATAGTCATGCTATTTATGCTTTCATCAAGGGAGTTCGATGACCAGATAAGAAAATTAAATAGTACTTTCTTTTTGTCATTTGATTGTGAGTATTATTTCATTTATTTACTGACTTCTGTGTAGTAATCATACAAAATAATACGTAAGAAAAGAAAATGTTTACTTATAATACTTGTTAAATAGAAAATGAGTGTTGATTTTATAAATAAAGTATAGATTATGTAGCTTTAAACATACATGTAGTGGCGCCATCAGGATGTTTATGTTTAATAGTTAAAAAGCATTTATCGAAAGTATTTCTGCTTAATTAAAAAACGCGCAATTCTAGTCAATATTACTTAAAATATTGATTGTTTTAATCCAATTTTGAATTATAAATATATTTATGTAAATTGTATGGAAAGTCGCACAAATAATGATCCTGAAACCAGGAAAACCCACAGAGGAACCTACAGGCCGATAAGCTTATTACCATATCTTTAGAAAGTATTTGAAATACTATTCCTTAAGTTTGGATTTT